CGGCGCATGTGCAGAACGCCGGCGCCATTTTGCCGTGGATATCCGGTTTACTAAAATCCACCATAGGGCGACGACCTTTTGTTGGCAGTTTTCAAATGTATATCAATGCAAGTCAGTGTAAATCATACTCTGACCTACAGGAATGTCTCTTAAGAATGGCGCCATTTTATTGGTAGTACAGGCATACATAAAAGTTTTACATCAGTAAGGTCAGGTAAATTTAGAAATAAAACTCATATCTAAATACGATAAAAAAAAATCTTTTAAAAAAAATTCTTACAATGATTATAGATGAACCCAAATAAAAAAAAAACTGGGGCAATCTATAAAAAATCGTAATAGGACTATCCTGAACAGTACATGGTCAGATACAGATAAAAATACAGGTAATAACAGAGTTCAATTAATATCTCATAATATCAATGTACAGGTAAAATATATGTATAACATATACAAAAATATAACATAAATGTGAAAAATCAAAAATAAATAATCACTTGTTAAAAAGGATAAAAAGAATAAAAAGTCGATCAATCCCAAAAATTGACATACTCAAAAATAGTTAGCAAAGATGGATATAAAAATCTTGCTAAAAATGAATTAACATATGACACTAACAGCAAATATAAAGGGATGAATTAAATAAAAAATAGATAATATATTACTCAATGAGTCGGTATAAGCTGGGTACAAATAAGCAACACTTAATATAAATCAGCTATTCTCTATAAAACAGTTTAAGTCAAAGTCGACATTAAGCCCATTAGGTACAGAGAGCCGAGCTCATATATCCACTTAGATTCAATTGCGACACTATTTCTTGCTATTAGATCCTCTCCAATGGGGCGTTAGCAATACCAATCCCATAAAACTCAATAGAGATGGATCATTATGGTCGTCCTGAAGTGGTGTGTGATTAGGGAAATGATCTTTAAATCCCTTTTTTATATTAGTACATGTTTCCCTGTCTATCCTTTTAAACATCTAATGCACAGCAGTACGCATGGGCATTGGGTAGACCACGTTTTTGCTGGTACATGTAATACAATCGTCTATACGATATGTCGTCCCTTTTACAGTGGAACTAAACAATTGGCTTCTTCTAGTGAACTTACTACATCTGCAAATGATACATTTTTTACAGGGAAAAAAAACCTTTTAGTCTGAAAACATTGTAATATTATTAGGAGGGTTTATTATATTAGGGGATATGATGTTCCTAAGTGAAGTGGCCTTTCTTAAGGTTAATTTATGGTTTCTCCGGTAGTAGTAAGTTTTAAACACAGGGTCCAATTTTAAAATTTTCCAATTCTTTTTAATAAATTCAGTTATATGCTTTATGCTGTATCGAATATCCTGTGATAAATGGACAAACTTACTCGTTCTCTGCGTTAGTGTTATTGGCGAGCATGGTGTCTCTATTCGATCTACCTATATCATCAATAACTTGGTCCAATATTAATTCTTCATTACCCTTTTCTAAAAATTAGCTTTAATCAGACGCTTGCTCTTGATAAAACAGTCAAAGTGGTGCAATTGCGTCTAATTCTAGAGAATTGGCCTTTAGGAATATTCCGCAACCAGACAGGATGGTGACAGCTGTCCGTCGGAATGTAAACTATTCCTATCTGTAGGTTTGAAATAGGTTTCTGTAACAATCCTACCCTCAAAGTTGATCAAAGTCAAATCCAAGAAATTAAAATGCTCACTTTACTATAATTAAAAGTTAATTCAATATTCTGCGTATTAAAATTAAGCGTAGTAAAAAAATTAAAGAAGGGACTGTTCCTCTCCATTTTATGAGGAGGACGTCATCTATATAGGCCTGATAAAAGGCTAGCTCAGGCCAATCTCTAGCATAGATGACGTCCTCCTCCCATCTGGAAATGTTTTAGCTAAAGCCCTTTTTTGCAAACTTTTTCTGCACAAAAAAAGTTTTAAGATAAATTCCTTTTGTAAACAGTCATATCAGACAATACTTAAAAAGAATCCAAACCCGTCTAACCATCGGAATGTTTAATACTTGGTGTATAAAGAGGTAACATATGCTGTACAAGAAAAGTGGATGCATCCGTAGATTAAGTATTAATATCATGGAGCACTGATTGGTGTCCTTCAAGTAGCACCAGATGTGATACAGAGAGATCCTATGCCACTTGGGCCTATGGTGGATGGAGTGGATTCTTATGTAATTTCGGAAGAACATACATAATTGGAAGTTTAGTGCCGTCGGGAACAAGAAAAGTTTTTCTTTCTTGGTAATGCATGTTTTATTTTTAATTAAAATACGATTTCATGATGTACATGAAATTTAAACAACGGAATAACTTTTAATAATTAATTTTAAAATAAATTTTTTAATCATTTTAATACAGAAAGTTCTCTAAATAATTTAATATAAACATAATATAATTTAAAATTATTTCACAAGTAAGACAAAACATGCTTTGTCCTATTTCTACTGTCGGAAAGTACAACAAGATAGCTTTCAATAGAGATGGAATACAAAGGTCCCTGTTTATTGCAGGATCTAATAGCATCCAGGTTAATACTATTAAATGAAAAATATCACGAGTTGGTCTGGTGCTTACTTCCTCAGATTAGAATTATTTACCCTGAAAAAAGTCATAGGTATCTGTTAGCATGAAATTTTTGTAGTGATTTTACATAATACTTTATAAGTCTGAAACATATTTAGAATTATTTGAGACCCCGAGCTTATTTGAAACTTTAATTCCTTGTACGGTAATTAATACCACCATTCGTTTAGTTTTCGGGGAGTCCCCTTTTACCTCCAGCCTTTTTCCCTATGCTCTTCGGTGGCCACTTCTCTTTTGTGCCTGGTTGGAAGCCTCCTAAAAAACCTTACCCGGTATTATAGTTTCTTGTCAGGTGGGTTATTATAACATTTGGTGTCCCAATTTGTGAACTTTCGATTTAGGTCTAGCACTTATGTGTGCAACCTCAGTGGGTCAGGTATTGCCTCATGTTTCTAGTTATCAGGGATCACTTAAAATGCAAAAGCACTAAGTGAAAAAAACAGTCAGAAAAGATGAGTAGGGAAAAAAGTCAGTGGCTTCCCATGTAAAACCATCATTGGGGATCGTTCATAGGTGTTCTAGTTTCACCTGTTGTTAATTTTTTAACACCAAATCAATGAAAAATCTGATTTTTTCTACATAACCTCCCAAGATTGGCGGTCTGATAATGTCAATATTTTTGAATGTCAAAGCATGGGCATTGTTTTTCATGGAAATTTTGATATTTTTGTAGGCCTGTGATTTCTAGGAATAACTCACTTAAATCTGTCCAAACAAAAGTCTAGTTAAACATCCCGAGCATGATAAAGTTTGAAACATGAAATCATAAAATTATAATGTAATAATTATTAAAAAATCTAAGAATTTTAATTCAATAATTTAATCAAACCAAAAACCACTGAAATTTGCATAGCAATCACATGTTCACTGGGTCCTGTTCACCCGTTTGTCACATTCCGCTGTGTCCGCTGGGCACAGCAGTCGACAAGGGGGGGCCCCCTTGTGTTAGTACAGCCAGAGTGACGTTATGGGTATGCCGCTTTGCCTGCACTGCCGCCTGGCCGCAGTACATTGCGGGCTGGCTGGAAGTTTAACTAATCATTCTTACTGCACTAACACCTTTTTACTCATTATGGTTTTCTTGAGTGTTTTCGCAGATTTATACAGTTTCTGCAAATGGGAAAGTAATTTTTTAATTCCATGTTTTTTTATGTTAGGAACAAATTTTTTTTGTTTCCTGAATTCTGGGTGCCATACACCTGACACAACTGGTACGTTAAGTTGGGCGTGATCTGAGAGATTTTTTTTTTCGCTTATTCTAAGGAACTGATGAATCACTTGAGCTTGGAAATGTGTTAATAAGCCCGAGTATTACAAACTGTGCAGAAATGGCAGCATTTATGTATAAAGACTTTAAGTTTCTGGCCTGAGGTGCCTGGTTTAGCCCAGATGTGATTTTATAAAGCATTTTATTCTTCTAATTTCATGAGTAGCAATTTTAGAAGTATTTTTTTAACAAATACAGGGACACCGTTCACAGTACAAGGTGCTTTAGTTTATTTCTTTGTCGTAACAAGAAGTGCCTAAACAAAAGCGCTGACCCTCATTGCAGGATCACCAGGTATACTTTAAATGAAAGCGGCTTTACTTAAAATATGAAAACAACTTTTTAAATTTTATTTTATTTACTAATATTTTAAGTCGCCGTTGTGAGAATCAATTGCATTTATTTTGGTGGATTTAGTTGAAAAACTGTACTCATACTGTATGGGTTTCTTTTATTTTTTATTTAAAAACAATTGTTATTTTCCCCAATGTTGTATGACTAGAATTTTTGTAGTGTAATTAAAACACTGTGAAAAACCTGTAAGGTGCTCAAGTTCTGCTAGCTATAGTATGTTGTGCAGAGGCTGCTTCCAATCAAGATATTACTTGCTTGAGTTTCACATATGTCTCTTTTTCAGGTGTCTACTTTCACCGATTTAATGCCAAACATGAAATGTTTTTTGTCACACCTTCAAGAGAGAAACTTAGTGCAAAACAGCATCATTGTGGAACAGGTACAGACACCACAAAAGCAGATTTATATAAATTAACCACTAGCCTACAGGGCACTTATACCCCCTTCCTGCTCAGGCCAATTTCCAGCTTTCAGCGCTGTCACACTTTGAATGACAATTGCGCGGTCATGCAACACTGTACCTATATGAAATGTTTATCTTTTTTTGTGACAGAACTTTATTTTGGTGGTATTTAATCACCTCTGGGTTTTTTATTTTTTCTTAAACCAAAAACCACTGAAAATTTTGAAAAAAAAAAGGTTTTTCTTAGTTTGTTATAAAATTGTGTAAATAAGTGATTTTTCTCCTTCACTGATGTGCGCTAATGAGGCTGCAGTGATGGGCACTGATAGGCTGCACTGATGGACACTGATAGGTGGCATGGTGGGCATTGACAGGCATCACTGATGGGCACTGATAGGCGGCACTGATAGGATAGGCGGCACTGACTGACACTGATAGGTACTGATAGGTGGCACTGACTGGCACCGATGGGTGACACTGAAAGGCAGCTCAGATGGGCACTATGTGGCATTGATGTGCACTGGTAAGCACTGATATGTGGCACTGATGGGCACTGGCACATGGCACTGTTCAGCACTGACAGCTGGCACTGATGGACACTGACAGGTGGCACTTCTGGGGCCACATTGATCATCAGGGTACACTGATCATCAGTGCCCTGATGATCAGTGTAATGTCCTCTCCGCAGAATGACGATTACTGGCTCTCCTCTCGAGCTGTCAGCGTGACAGCTTGGGAGGAGAGAAATGCCGATAACCGGCATTTCCCTGTTTACATGTGATCAGCTGTGATTGGACACAGCTGATCACATGACCGAGCCGACATCTTCGGCTCTTTCCGTGGATCGGTGATCTGCTGTGTCCGAGGGACACAGCGCACTGCCGATCACCGCGCTGCGCGGTGAGAATGGGAGGAGAACGAGAGAACCACCTTGCGCCCGTCATTGGACTATATGGCGGACGGGAGGTGGTTAAAGGAAGACTACAACTTTAGGGCCCATTTGCACTATGCATTGCATTAAAGCATCTGGGTTAGAACAGTGTGTAATTGTGTCTGAAAGCACTGTGTAAAAAGGCAGCCCATTATCTAAATGGACTGGCAGCACATCTTCATGCAAACAAAATGGGCTAACATTTTTGTTAACCGCACTCTACAATGCACAGCATGTGTATTTTAGGTAAGGTGCATTGCATGCTACTGTAGTAGGTTGTTGCGAAACCCCAAGATAGCACCACACCTGCGATCGTGTGTTGCTGCGTGTTAAGGGTGAATGGACCCTTGTCGTTGTCCAAAGTAACCATTCAGGTTCCCTTTTTTCCACCCTCTGCAGCTCTGAGAGGTCATACCTAATTAGGCAGAGGTGGTTGGGCATGCGGTCTGCAGCCATATGTACAGTTTTCTTCTGTTAGTCCTGATATATGGGCAGTGGGAAGCCACTTTCTGGGAGCTTGGCTTCATTTTTTTTTGCCTTGACATATGCCTAAGCTTTTAAAATTTTAATATTTTACTTTTTATTTTTCAGAACCTTTTTCTGAATGAGAGCTCAAGCAAATTACTAGTGTTTTTACAAGAAATAATATGTAACCACATCTTGAGAATACAAAAACAGTAAGTTTTCATTTTTACTTTGTGTACAACATATTTATATACAGCAGTGTTTCTCAACTCCAGTCCTCATGGACCCCCAACAGGTCATGTTTTCAGGATTTCCCTCAGATGAAACAGCTGTGGTAATTACTAAGGCAGTGAAACTGATCAAATCACCTGTGCAAAATAATGGAAATCCTGAAAACATGACCTGTTGGGGGTCCATGAGGACTGGAGTTGAGAAACACTGATATACAGTAATGTATGCTTTCCATTGATATCACAGCTTTTTGTACAATGCTGTACTATTTTTGTAGTTTATATTTTTTATAAACCTGTTCCTCTAAAATTAATGGCACCATCTTGTTGCTGACTAGTATACTAACTATTATGTATTTAAAGTAGAACTATAGAAAACGTGTTTTTCATTTTGGATAGAGTAAGGGAGGGTTATAACCCCTGTCCGTTTTTTTTTGCCATCTCTGTCCCATGTGGGAGGTTTACTTTTACTTCCTGTCCCATAGCAAAAACAGGAAGTGAGCAGAAATTACTGCAAATAAAGGAAATCCCTTGGGGCCCCCACCCAGGTCACCAAAACTAGTGTCCCCATTAGAAGATTTTCCCTCTTACTTTTCTGAGGGTATCCCAAAATGTGTGATATATTATTTTTTTTTTTTTAACGTTCACTTTCAATGATAAAGGACAAATAGAATCTCCCTAATGGGGGGATACAGGCAGCAATAAATACTTGATGCGTATTCTAATCCATCTCCATTCTGTCCAAAACAAAAAAAAAATTATTCAATTATATTTTAAGGATGCGTACAGGTTTTTTTTACCTTGGATAAAGTAGGGGTTATTGCTGTCTAATTCCTTGCTGGGGGGGTCTCCTTTTTTCTCCTTATGATTTTTGACACCAGACAGGAAGTAAGAGAAAGCATATGTTTTTTGAGTTATGACAGTGAGAGGAGATCATCCAATAAGAACACAGATTCTTATGACAACTCTCTAAGATCGGAATTTTGTTCACTTTGGAAATATTTCTTTGCATTACCCATTGCACCTCCATGACAGGAAGTAAAGTGACATTTCTCTATTTGGACACACAGTGGAAAAACAAATGACAGGGGATTTAAACCCACCCTTCTGTTTGTAAAACTAAGAGAAAAAAAAACTTTTGGCTTCATATACATTTTAGCTAGTCCCCGTCCTCCCACAGTACATTTACTGCAGGTGGGTGGCACGGGCAGGCTGGATCAAGTACATGTACGTCATCCAGCCTGTTCCAGATTTAGGACGTGCACGCTACTGCGCTGTGATCCAGTACAGCACTAGTTTAGCATCAGGTTCTGACCAATGAATTTGAGCCTGAACCTAATGATCGGCTGTAGCAAAGCACAGCGTGTTTCAATGTTTGTAAACACAGGTACAGGATCTGCACTGTTCTTCTCTCCCAGCGCTCTTTTCGGTTCAGGGAGAGAAGAAAGCAGAACCAGTGAAGAGAAACAGTACATTTACATTTGCATACACCTAGTTGGGTACATTTAACTCTAAATGCCATTCAATTAACCCTTTGATTGCCCTGTGTGAGTTTCATTAATACAGTGTTCAGCATTTTTTTTTTTAGTGATCACTGTAATAGTGTCACAGGTGACTTCAGATAGCATCAGGGTCCCTCCCAGCTAACTTTAGAGAACGTCAGATCGCTCTCCACACGCAATCCACATTTACCCCTTGATTGCCGGCAACACTAACCGTGCTACACTATAATCACATTTACTAGTATAGTGTCTGAACAGATCAGTATCTTGATCACGATCAGAACTATACCAGTGTCCCCAATAGTATAGTGTCCCTAAAACGCAATGTTAGTAGTATCAAGCCCCATTCACTGCCACCACGTGTTTAGTTTCCTCTCCTTCCCCCTAAAAGTGCAGTGTCAGTATAATTTCTGATCACTGCCACACTTTATACATTGTGCACAAAATCTCAGTGTTAGGAAGATCAGGCCTGATCTCTGCTAGAACTAGCAGATACATTTTATTTTTTAGCGTACAACCTCTCCCAGACAGCCAGGAGCTCTTTTACCCATAGTTGCACTAGGTACCTGTAAATTTATTGCATACAATGTCTCAAAGGTACACTAGTGAAGAGGCCTGCAGGATTTTGAGCACGACAGTGTAGAGCGAAGGGAAAGCTTCACTGTCAGAATATGAAAAGAACACAGAGGGATGCCAGAGTAAGTGCAGTATATTGGCAATTCCGTTTATTAAAAATAAGCTAATTGGGAACTCACTGTTAGACAGAAATGATTTTGCATGTAAACTCATGTGAGGAGGTCCCCATGGTGATCCGGTGGATGAAGTAGTCATCCCAATGCAGACAAGAGCAGCAGTGTGTGTCCAGTCGTTGCTGGAACCAGCATGGAACGCAAAGATGGTGTGGTACCGGACGTGATGACACCAAGGAGATGTCACTCTGTACGGGGGGGGCGGTAATGCATTTCGAAGCTTCTGCTTCTTTTTCAGATATGGGGACATGACCTCAAACAAACTGGAGGAAAGTTCAAAACTAATCTTAGAAAGTATTATTCTACTGACTGATGCATTGAATAAACTTCCAGGTAATGAGCCAGTCAACAGTAAATGGCTTCAAACATGCTTGGAACAAACCTAGATCTATACTCAGAAAAAAAAAAAGTCTTCTTTTTTTTTTTTTCTGCCGTCACTTTTCTGTTTCTCTGTGTCCAAGATTATAATCTTTATGTGGGAGGCATAGGTGTAGGACCAAGTGATGAAGCCGTATTTAGCTGCCTAAAAGCTAGAAATTGGTACAAAAAAACTGTCTTTGAATTGGCTGTGTATAATGTCCTCCCTGGTACTCTGACACAAAAGTCACCCAAAAAGATGTTATGTCTGTAGTCAACACAGAAGGAGACACCTTTTTTTTTTTTTTTTTTTTTTTTTTTTTTTTTTTTTAACAGCAGGACACTGTATAGGGCACACAATTTTGCACAAGAAGGGTCTCTAAAGATGTTAGGTAGTCATAAAACTGTCTCACATTTTAAGATACCCTAAAATCTATTGCTGGAAAGGTTATTGTTCTGAAAAGCTTAGCTACAAAAAAAAGTTAAAAAAAAATTGTTTTATTGCATTAATGTTTTATTGTTACTGTGTGTTATTGTTAAATGTTGTTTGCTTTGCAGGAATGCTGATCAGCTGCAGCACTGATCTGTGCATTCTAACAGCAGCAGGGTGCTGTTCTCGGAATACATACGTCAACCGTAGAAGGAAATTTCACATCCACAGTTGAAAAAAAACATGTATGCCAAAGCATTAGCAGCGTGAGGTGGTCAGTGGGTAGTAGCTCCTATGCTTCGGCATACTTTTTTCACTTTTTTTCTGGCCAAGATTATTTATCCACATCAAGACAGGCTGCATGCAAAAAAGAGCATTACATGTATGCCCTACAGTAGGAGGCTGGGTGGATGTGTGGTGGAAGCTTCTAATGTTGGGCATAAAATAAAAAAATTTTAAAAAGGGTTTTTTTTGGAAAAATACCAAAAAAAAAAAAAAAATTTTTTTTTTACACAAAGTTGTCATATTAATTTCTTACACATGCAATAGAAGAAATTTTAGTGAGCGCTACCAAAAAGAACAACAAAGAGTATATATACATATATATGTAAATACGTCTATACACACATACATACAAACATGTATGTATATGTATTCAAATAAATAAGCAGCTGATACACCGAAAGGCAACCAAAAAAAACCTCCAATAGTATATATGTATTCAAATAAGTTGGTGCAGCGCTAAATGATAATACATATTAGTAAACATACTGCCATGCAATTTCAAATAAATGTGGATAGGTGGTATCACCTTAAGGTGATTAATCGTGACCAGGCCAATTTTCAGCTTTCAGCGCTCTCACACTTTGAATGACAATTACTCAGTCATGCAACACTGTACCCATATAAAATTTTCGTCCTTTTTTTCACACAAATAGAGCATTATTTTGGTGGTATTTACTCACCACTGGGTTTTTTATTTTTTGCACTATAAATGAAAAAAGACCGAAAATTTTGAAAAAAAAAAAAATGAGTTTTTCTTAGTAGTTTTTTATAAAATTTTTCAAATAAGTAATTTTTCTTCATATATCTTCACCAAAATTTATACTACTACATTTGTTTGGTAAAAATAACACAAATCAGTGCATATTATTTGGTCTGTGTGAAAGCTAGAAAGTCTACAAGCTATGGTACCAATCATTGAA